CAAATTTTAAATATCAAAATATAGTGTATTTTGAAAAATTACATCTTTTGCAGCTATTAAAACATATGATAAAAATTTTAGATGTTAACTTAAAACTTTGATAACCACTAACTTTTTTTTTCTGTTCTCTCTTTGGTACTGTAACAATTTGTTTTCAAATTTTATTTTCTTTATGAGAATGCACGTGATTGGGATAGGGATCGTGTTTTCTAAGATTTGTGTCTTTCATAAAACCTTTATTTTATTTTACTGTTGAATTTATTGTGGGGACATCTATCTACACTAATAAAAGAGAAACATGCAAATTGTTGTACTCTGCTACGCTCACCAGCCAATCTAATGAGTATGCAAATTAACCCAACAAAGATGGTGGCTAATTTGCATACATAGGCGCCAAGCAGCCTGGGTCCTGGGAACATCATTGGCACCCAGGTCATGCCGAGGTAGGCCCTGTGTGGGCCCTGAGCAGGAAGGAGCTGAGCCAGGGGGCTCCTGAGAAGGGGCGGAGCCGGCCATCGGAGCTGCGGGGGAGGGGTGGCCTGCCCAAGCCTAAAGCCTCCGCCAGAGATGTTAGGCCTGGGCAGGGGGCGGAGCCGGTGATTGGAGGAAGATGGGGATCCCCTCCCAGGCCTGACGCCTGGGCCAGAGGCATTAGGCCTGGGCATGGGGTGGAGCTGGCTATCAGAGGGGTCTTGGGGTTCCCTACCTTGGCCTGTCACCTGGGCCAGAGGTATCAGGCCTGGGCAGGGGGCAGAGTCGGCTATCAGAGGGGTCTTGGGGTCCCCTGTCCAGGCCTGACGCCTGGGCCAGACGTGTCATTCCTGGGAAGGGGGCGAAGATGGCGATCGGAGGGAGATGGGGGTCGACGCCTCTTGCCAAGGCATCAGGCCTGGGCGGGGGGCCAAGCCGGAGATTGGTGTGAACTACAGAGGAAACACCTTTTCTGACCGCTCATTGGCTAAGCTCCCTGTATGGCACTGGTAATATTCTTAGTAATGTGGGTAATAAGAATCCAAAAAGGTGATCTAGGGTTTTCTACCACACTCCTGGCAAAAAAGACGAAGGTCCGCTACTGGAGGGCTAAGAAATGTCATATCCTGCCCTAGCCGGTTTGGCTCAGTGGATAGTGCCTCGGCCTGCCGATGGCAGGGTCTGGGTTCAATTCTGACCCAGGGCATGTACCTAGGTTGCAGGCTCCTCCCTGGCCGGGGCCCAAGTCAGGGCTCATGCAGGAGGCAACCAATCAAAGTGTTCCTCTCACTTTGATGTTTCTCTCTGTCTTTCCCTTTCTCTTCCACATTCTCTAAAAATCAATGGAAACATATCCTCAGGTGAGGATAAAAAAAAAAATAAAGAAATGTCATATCCTATGAAAGACACATCTTGAAAATGCCTAAAGAAAGTTGTCATTTTTTTATGGTGAAGGGACTGGAGTTTGTGTTGATTAAAAAACCTTGATGGCTGCGGTGACTGGCAGTGGCTGCAGCAGTGGGGTGATGGGACTGGTGCCTTCACCTGATCAGCCCTGTCACCTCCCACAAAGGGAGGCCAGACTGCGGCTTGGGCCGGCTCCCCAAGGGGAACAGGGAGCAGGCCTAAGCTGTCAGTAGGACATCCCCTTAGGGCTCCCAGTATGTGAGAGGGGGCAGGCTGGGCTGAGGGGACCCCCCCACCCAGTGCACAAATTTCATGCACCGGGCCCTAGTATATATATAAAAGCCTAAGCGACCAAACGACTGGTTGCTATGATGTGCACTGACCACCAGGGGGCAGACACTCAATGTGGGAGCTGACCCCTGGTGGTCAGTGTGCTCCCACAGCGGGAGTGCCACTCAGCTGAACAACAGTCACCAGATGCTGTGCTCACTACCAAGTGTTGGCAGGAGCTGGCGCAGCGGGTCTGGGATGAGCGATAGCAGCATGGTGCCAGGCCTGGGCTCAGGCTCCCCCTCCCTGGCCACTTGCCGCTTAGGGTACTACCACATCCCGCGGGGGATGTTGGCTGGCCTGCGGGGATCAGACCAGAACCGGCAGTCCAATATCCCCTGAGGGGTCTGGGATTGCAAGAGGGTGCAGGCCAGGCTGAGGGACCCCACCAGTGCACGAATCCATGTACCGGGCCTCTAGTTGGTTAATAAAATGATATAGGTGTCAGGGGTACAATTCTATAATACATCATCTGTGTATCATATTGTGTGTCTTTCCATCTCTATTGATCCCCCTTTATCTTCTTCTACCTCCCCCCACCCTTTTTCTCTCTGTTGTCTGTCTGTGAGATGTTTTCTTTTTCTTAACCCCTTCACGTTTTTCACAAAACTTTAATGAAATGTCTTATTTAGAATAGGAGCTCAATTAAATATTTACTAAATTAAATTATTTTTATCAAAGGGAGTGATTCTTTCCTCTTCCATTGTTCTTTACTAACCTTCAGACTAATTTTTCCTACTACTGATAATCAAAACAACTGCCTGAGGGAAATAAATTTTGGGTTTACAAAGTAACACATATCTTTAAAATGAGAACAGGAAAAATAGTTGAAAAGGAAATGAGTATATACAGTAAACCAATATCAAGTTTCTTAAATATGTTTTCTATATAAAATAAAACAACACTAAGCATTTGGAAATATATTTATTAACATAAAACTATAGTACATATATACTCTTAACTAAAACAAGTTTCTTCTCATCATGGTTCTTTCTAATGCGCACTAAATTAGAAGGCAGTAAAAACACCAACAGATGGCTCAGACTTTTTCTTCCTCGGTCACTGATATAGAATTGTAATGAAAAATTATATATTTTACACTTTACTCAGCACCTCTGCTTACGACACCATAAGCATGAAATATTGCCTAACATTGCGTTATCTGCTTCAGATCCAACAATAAGCTAGCAATAAGTAGCTTATGCATGTACTTTGGTTTACACACTTTTGTAATTTTTGAGGATTATCAAGAAGGTTTGGTCTTGTCCTATGGTGATAATCCTGTTAAATTACATTTAAATATAATATACAGCATTCTATTTTGTACTTAGTATTACTCAAAGAATTAATATTACATGTAGACCTCTTAAAAAATAACTTGAGCAGAAGCAAAATTTAAAAATAGAGTAAACACTCTTATAACCTACTTAGAAATATCAAGTACAGTGGGGCCTTGACTTACGAGTTTAATTCGTTCCGTGACGGAGCTCATAACTCAAATTACTCGTATGTCAAATCAACAGTGAACGAGTGAGACACGTGATGCTGGGCTGATGTTGTGGCATTCACTGTGACGTTCGCTGCGCCAACTAGCGGTGGGGTATCTGAAGCTGGCTCGTAACCCGAATTTTAGCTCGCAACTCAAAGCAAAAAATCGGCCTAGAGTGGCTCATATCTCGAAAAACTCGTTAGGTGGGACACTCGTAAGTCAAGGCCCCACTATATGACTTTAGGAATTAGCCTAAAATCTGCCTTGATTTTTACCTTCCCTTGTCTTTGTGAGATTTTTTTGCTTGAAGAAAGAAAATATTATCTTGAATTATAAATTTGGAACTATCTTATATGTGAGATAATCCTGTATCTTAATAGTATCATCATTAATACTACTTCTAGGTAGCACTTATCCAGCACCCCCTTTGTACAAGGCACTTTACACTTCATCCTCACAACAACTCTCCGAGGTAGGTAACACTATTGGGCCCATTTTACAAGAGAGGCCTTTAAATTGAGATTCACGGGAGGCAAAAGATGCAGATAGGAACATTTATATCCTGGTCTTCCTGAGCTGTGATTAGATTGTGAGCTCCTTGAGAAGAAGTCATTCTCTTACTGTGTTTAAGCATTAATGTCATGATAGTGGGTACCAGCTAGAGTGGGTAGTTGAGTGACCAGACCAAGAAGTGTCATCATGCTTCCAACAAGCCAAGAGAAAAATCACATTTGTAAGGACATTAGAGTATGAAAACACTTCCACAAAAATGATAAGCATACTACAAAAAGTGTGTTCAAGCTCACATCTACTAATTTCCCTGGGATTAAATCTAATTAATTAGTGCCAATTTTATTATTTATTACTACAGGCTCGGTGCACGAAGTTCATGCACTCAGTGTGTGTGTGTGTGGGGGGTCCCTCAATCCAGATTGCGAGAGGGTGCAGGCCAGACAGAGGGACCCCACCGTTTTGCACAATTGGGGCCAGCCAGGGAGGCACCGCAGGAGGGCTCCAGGGCATGTCTGGCCCGTCTCGCTCAGTCCGGATCGGCCAGACCCCAGCAGCAAGCTAACCCACCAGTTGGAGTGTCTTCCCCCTGGTGGTCAGTGCATGTTATAGCGAGTGGTTGAGGAGCCTTAGCATATCATTAGCATATTACGCTTTGATTGGTTGAATGGCCCACTGGCCGACTGGACACTTAGCATATTAGACTTTTATTATATAGGATGATGTATACCATTAAAGACCTAGGGGTTTTTATTGTTTAGCTAGTTCCTTTGTCCTAATATAAAGTCATAAAAGCTTATTATTTCGCCTTCACCTCACTTGTATGTCTGCAAAAAAGAAAATATGGAGGAAAAACAATATAAAGTTACTTAAACTTTTCTGAGGCAAAAAATTTCAGGAACTGAATTTCTGGTACTTGTGGATCAATCCAAATAATTAATTAGAATTTAAATGCAAGTCTTTGGGGTTCTTTATTAAACCTTTACCACCACTTTATTCCATTAGTAAATAAGATGAGTAGTGATTTTATTAAATCACATTCATCACCTATAAAAATGTTAAATTTCTTTATCATTGAAGCTTTGGACTTCTCAAAGGCCATCAGCATCCAAAAGACAAGAGCCACACAAGAGTCATTTTCCTGCTGTGCCCCGGTCAGAGTCCCTATGTTTCCCTACCAGAGTTCACACCCAAAGGTCTCCTGAACAATTTAAGCTCACTTGGACAGTCTTGAAGTCCTAAGTAAAAATAGTTTATCCCAAGTTGGCCCAAAGGAAATAAAAATCAGTCAAAGTGAAAAGAAATAATTTCATTATTTGGACTGCCTAATTACATAAAGGTAAGCAACAACAATGAAAAAGCAAATATTGAGTAATATTATGCACATTAAAGCAAACGTAATAAGGATGGATTAGGTGCTCCACTTTGTGAGGCAAACAGCCCCACTAAGCCTTTGGTATCCATCAGAACTGTACTTTCATAGTTGTAAAGCAAAAGTCTATTTCATCATCAGTGTATTTTCAATTTGCCTACATAAGTGAAAGCACTTAGAACAGTGCCTGGCACATAGGCAGTGCACAATAAATGCTGGCAATTGCAGCAGAACAGCTTAGATAGCATCCGCATATTGCTGAGAGAAAGAGGGAAGCGATAGGGGGTCGTTTTGTGTTAGCGAATTCAGTTTTCCAGGAAAGTTAAAAAGGGATTTTGATCAAGTCTGAAATTGAACAGTCATGAAGTTTCATGAGTTCGCCAACCCTACCTTTTCAACCTGTTTAGCAACATATTGATTCAGAAAATGTTTTCTTTTGAAAAACAGCAATCATTCACTTCAAATTTCCTAAGTTAGCCTGCTTTAGTTTATTGGGGTTTGAGGAGATACACCAAACGCCTGACTTCTCACTGACTCTATTTTATAACACAGCTCAGAAAACCAGGCTGTGCTCAATTAAAAAGCAAAACAAAACATAGCCCAAAGGGTAAAACCAACAAGAAAGTGATTTAACAGGGATTTATAATAGATGTTAATATTAACTGATAACTCATGCTACATTACCAGGTAAAACTTTTTTACTGTTTAATCTGAAAAAACCGATTTGGTCACCAAACGAACTAAAATGTTGTTTGTTTTCCCAAGTACTGAAAGAGTTTGGTAAGCTTACTAAAAATTAAAGTTTTTCTTTACAAACATATTTTAATATACTGAATATATCATTCCACATGAATATATAGGAAACATAAAAAATTTTAAACGAAATGTAAATTCCAATGCACAGGAAGAAAACTGAGTGAGAGAAATGGAAAAGTTATCAATTTTACAACGGACTTTACTGCCACTAGCCGTATCTCCTTTAGTGTGAGGCCTGTGGATGAGAAAATTCCACCTTAATCAGGTTCAAATATGCAATTATCAGTGGTATCTTCAGGTTTCTAGTCACGTGCTTAAGGAAGCAATAATATGCTCCATTGAAACGGCTTCAATTTTAGGAGAACCTCCTTATACAGAATAGAACTAGGAACATTAGAATGCCCTTGCCCTTCAGTGTAGGGAAATGAGCTAGGCTTTTAGGTTTACTTAATTACAGAGTCTTACTATCAAAAATAGTTCTGTAACTTAAAAAAGAATACTTTCTTTGGTAATATTAGATGACATTTCTGATCAGCGCCCATAAAAGCTCTTTAAAAAAATAAAACAATACTTCAAGATATTGATATACAAGTCTCAAAGAATTGTCATGTGAAAACACACAGGCTCCTTCCTTTTTCTGTTCATAAAAAAGCAGGCTATCTCTACGCAGTCTCTGCAGCTCCAAGGAATTTCATTTCTGTGGCTGCCTTCCGCGGGCGGGCTGACCCACCCCTCTTTCGGAATTCTGCCGCGATTTCCTCGAAGGACTTCCCTTTGGTTTCTGGAACTTTGAAATATGTAAACAGAGTGAAGGCCAAGACCACTCCAGCGAAGAGGAAAAACACATAAGGTCCACAGAACTCCTGCATGGAGAAGAAACAGAGTCCCAGTTAGCAGTCTTTGGGCCCTACCTTCTCGGCAAAGTCAGTTTGCACGACCTTGGGCTGCTTACCGCGATGTATGGGAAGCACAGAGCGACGATGAAATTGCAGGTCCAGTTGCTGAATGCCGCTATGGCTAAAGCCGCAGGGCGTGGTCCTTGACTGAAAAATTCGGCCACCATGAACCAGGGGATGGGGCCGGGCCCAATTTCAAAGAAGCTGACAAAGAGGAAGATGGCTACCATGCTCACGTAACTCATCCAAGCGAATTTATTCTGAGAAAAACAAAACAACAGTAGAAGTGGGATCGTTGGCTGCGTCTTCCTTTAGCTAAGTAGACCCTCCCTGAGTGTAACGGTCACATGGCTCTCTTCCTGGTGATGATGTGCAATTAAGTACAAGTTATTCTAGTTGGAGACAAGTTTGTTCTAGTAGTCTGAGTCATCCTTAAATCTTTTGAGCCCTATTACAGGGAAATCCTGATTAGGATTTTATATGATTCTTAGTCACCCTTTTCCTGTGAAAGAGGCAGGGTGAGGATCCAGTGACCTTCGCTCCTACTAATACCTAGGGTGCTAGGGAGGGTGCAGGGGAAGTAGCGCTTGAGGGTGCTGGGCTGGGAGGGCCAGATCCTTGCCCAAGGTCACACAGGCCGCTGCTAGCAGAGCCAGCATTGCAACCAGCTTGGGGCTGACCCCAGAGCCTGCCTTCCCAAACTAGTTATCTCTTCTTTACATTTCTCCTTTGTATTATATGCTGCTTCTCTGGCTTTACTTCATAAATCATTCTCAAGGTTTTTTGTTGTTGTTTTTTGACATCCAAAGCACTTCAACATGGAGCACAGGATTGCTATCCTACAGTAACCAAAAATGTCAGTGGCACCAAACTCACCAGGAGCACGAGTCCCACAGACATGAAGACGGCACAGACAAACATCCCGCTCATTCCAATCAGAAACAGAGAGCGTCGCCCCGCCTTCTCCACGAGGAACACCTAGGAAAGTTTTAAAACATGTAGGCTTGATGCTTAAAGAGTTTTGACTGACAAAGAGGTCATTTTAACTCATAAAGCTGGAAAGTGGCAGTTTTATTATCCCATTTTACGGATGTGGAACTGAGAAAGGGAGTGACTCTTGACTGAGGGGCTATCGTTTTGTACTTTAAAACAAAATTTCAAAGATATATATATATTTAAAAATTTAAAATGTTATCTATAGTCCTGGAGGGTGATTTATAATTTGACTTCTGATTAGGGATGATTTTTTAAAAGCTGTCACTTGCTCAAAAACTTTCACTGAATAAAAGGATAAAGTCTATAGAGGAATACGTATTCAAAATAATCAAGATATTGTTCCCACTCCAAAGGGGTTGGCGGGGGGGGGGGGAGTGGGGTCAAAAAATGAAATTCCGCAGTAGTTTCCTTTTAGGCAGTCTTAGAATTTGGGTTACCCAATCTTGACAACTTGATGCTTTCCATAGCAAATCCTGTTACACATAAAATGTTTTAATCATAATCTCTATACTAGAAAAACAGGTCGAAGGGGGATTTGTAAAAAAATATTATCTCAGGAGACAAAAGAATGCAAATAGTCCCTTGGATGGCATCCCAGTATCAGGCTTTCATTGGTTCAGAGTAGCCCTTTGGCTTGTAAAGGCATTATCTCTAAAGGCAAGTCTCCATGCCCACTGGTGTTCCCATGTTATCTGCTCTTCCCCCGCTTTTCCAAGGTCTGGACAAAGCTGCCTTTTGATCTAGGTGGCCAGGCTATAATTTATTGACCACCCTAAGTTAATAGTTAAAAGTCCCTGTGCAGAGAATGAAAAACAAGAGACTAAAGTATATTGAGTATAGTATTGTGAAAAGCACAAGCTTTTTGAACATCCTGCATTCCAAGATAAAAATAAGCCCAATTACCCTCATTTTAGAGTGAGTTACATTAGTTGGGAAGTTTTTCTTTTTATTTTTGGTTGTTGTTGTTATTGTTATCTGTGTGCTTTAATTCTTAGATTGCTATGTTAAATATTATTATTATCAAGATACTAAGTCATTCCTTATATAAGGTATTTGGTCTTATGAAGCGTACACAACCTCTTCCCCTTGTTGGAAATGTTTTTTCCAAAAATAAATAACATTTGACATTTGTAAAAAATAACATTTCAAAAATAACAATAACATTTCAACTTATGCACCACTTCTATTTCATCCTCTCATAGTACCACACAACAGGTGCCTCACCACAAGCCATGGCCTTGTGAGCTCCTTGGAAGCTCCACCCAATGGCCTAAAATAAGAATTTGTTGAGTTTGTTTAATCTTACTAGAGGCTTGCTTTTTAATTGAGAGGACCACATTTATTTTTTTAAAGAAAAATTTCAACCACGAAAGGAGAGGAATCTAGGTACAAGACCCAATGTTGAGGGAAATGACAAGCTATTGGCGAAACCCAAGGGGCTTAAGTATAGAGCAAAGGAGAAGGAACCCAAGGAGTAAGTCCTGTGTCCCCAAGTGAGTTATTAATTCATGAATGAGTGATTACTGGCCAATAAAGAGAATGATTCTCACCAGAGAGAACCAGATAATCTGCTCAGTGATGCCTCATCTCAATACAGTTGGCTGGCTATTCACATATAGGACTCTTCCCATGATCTCCTTGGTTTTACATACCCAGAGCATGAGGACAATGTTATTGATCACTTTTAGATCACAAGGGTTTGTTTTGTTTTTAACTCCCATTTCTAGACTGAGAAACAAGCAGAATAAGTTAGGGTATTTTACTTACAGAAAGAGCAGTAAAAACTGTGTTGATGGCACCAACTCCAATGGTTGCATAAACAGGTTGGCTGAGTCCAGCTGTCTGGAAAATGCTGGTTGAATAGTAAAATATCTGCAAAGTGATAACAGTTTAGCCTTAATCATGAAGCCTAGCATTGATGGCTTTAAAGCAAGAAATATTTTAAGTTGTTTGTCTTCAGGTGCTTCTATGAGACCATGGTCCCTAGAAGAACTTCCTAAAGATTTTATCTGACCTCTCCTTCTAGGGAAGGAACAACCACAATTACCCTTCAGTGTTTAAAACTTCTGTTTGCTTAAAAGTCCTTTTATATTTAGCTGAAAACTCTGCATATGCATTTTCTTTGTGTTTTTTTAAAAAAATTTTAACCCTTTTGTTAAAGTATACAATACATACATAAAAGTACACATGTCATAAGTTACAGCTCAAATAGTTTTCACAAAGTGAACACACCTGTATAACCAATACCCAGATTAGGAAATAAATCCTTCCTTGCTTTCCTAAAGCGCCCTAAATATCACTTTATTTTCTCAAGGAAACTCATCCAACTTCTACCATCACAGATACATTAATTTCAGTGGAGATAGAGAAATCTGGTTCACAACCTAACAGCCTTTATTACTTTGTTATGTTTTTACTTTTATAACAGTCTTTTAGTTCATTTTGTTGTCCTCTCATCCCCTGTCATTCTTTCCCCACATAACATGCCCTCTTTCTGCAGACAGGGCTGCTGCAGGAGGCCTGTGCAGGCTGGGCTCAGCGAGGAGTGGCTTACAGCACACTGCACACTGTCCCACTATTTTTAGGCCGCCCAACAGCCTCACGTCCAGTGTTTCCTGGTTGCTTCTAAGTCAGGCACTGGGATGGAAGCTAACGCAAAGAGGTTCAGAGAGATTAAGTATGGTGCCATGGAATGTACAGGCAGAGCTGAGATAGGGGATAGCAATTTGGTCTGTGAGCCCCAAAGTTATAAAGAGTATTAAATAAAAAGAAACATCAAGGACCCTTAAAAGAGGACAAAGACCACAGCAGAGCAGTATTCAGCCTGTGGAGTGAGGTTCACTTCACAGGCATTGCTTTCTTTGCCTCCTCTAAGTCTCTGCCCACCATTCAGTCACTCACAAGGTGTCCTTTGTGGATCTGAGATTGGCTCATTATAGAGGAAGCCCAAATCACATTTTTAACAGCAACGGAATCAGCTTTGTTCTTTCCTTTGTTTAGTTTCTTATCAAATGCTTAATTATTTTCTTCCAGTAACTAATTGCCGATAAGACAATTTTAGTCTGCATAATGCAAGAATTTCAATTCAAAACCCCAAAGCCAGCAAGTTTAATGCTCAGTATGTTTTTCAATCATGTCTTTTCTACCACCCTCACTCACCATATCATATCAGTTCATTTTATTGTTTATTTTGTGTGCATGTGCTTTCTCCCCAAATATAGTAAAAGTTTCTTGGATGGCAGGAAACTTTTTGACATCTGGATATCTGCTATACTTCATTTAAATAGAGGGGACCATGGACTCTTTTAGCCTAGGCCCGTGGTCAGCAAACTGTGGCTTGCGAGCCACATGTGACTTTTTGGCCCCTTGAGTGTGACTCTTCCTAAGCCTTAGGAGTACCCTAATTAAGTTAATGACAATGTACCTACCTATATAGTTTACGTTTAAAAAATTTGGCTCTCAAAAGAAATTTTAATCGTTGTACTGTTGATATTTGGCTCTGTTGACTAATGAGTTTGCCGACCACTGGCCTAGGCTATTATAAATCCCAAATTTGATACTCAACTCTAGAAGCCCTTTGTAATTTAGTTTTCTTTGATATAATTACTCTCTTTTCCCCTCTTTTGTACTTATTATGACTTTCGCCTTTTTACCTTCATCTTAATAGACATACAATACCATTGGTTGTTGACATTTTTAAAAATTGTAAGCTAATTTTAGAAAGCAGATGAGGCAAAACAGAAAATTATTGCTCACACAATATTTGCTTATAGTAAGACGTGATGTTAACATTTTAAAATGTCTGTTAGCTATTTAAACTTATACCCCTTTCCTGCTCTATCTTAATTCGCTTTGCTCTTAAGAATTGGGGGGTGACCTGGGTTTTGGAGGCGTCTGTCCAGCCACAGAGTGTATGCTAGAGGCACCCCAGCCTGCTGAGAACATCTCTAAGGACCTCTACATAGAAGTGTATCCAGGGACCTATTCTGTCACTGTGGGTGCAAATGACTTAACCAAGAAGACTCAAGTGGTGGTTGTTGATTCAGGACAAAGTGTGGACTCGGTTTTCCCCATCTGATGTTGACCATCACGTAGCCTTTTTTTTAAGTAGCAAGGAGAATGAAGCCACCATGTGATTCTGTTAATATTTATATACATCAATCCTGCTCTTCAGGCTGGCCTTCCTGAGACCTGGAGATTGTCTCTTTCAGTGCCTATTTTAACCTCCAAAGTTTTTAACCCTTACCCTCTTCTGCCTAAAAGCAATAATGATGCTGTCTGAATAGTTTTTACTGCTTGCTTTCCAACTAAATGATAATTATGATAATAAAAGGAGAGATTTGTAAAAAAATAAAAAAAGAATTGGGGGGTTGGGGGGTGATCTTAAACTTACCCCATTGATTCCAGAAAACTGCTGAGCCATGTGCAGCATCAATGACACCAGAATAGGCTGTCGGTAGCTGGAATTGGTGAAGAGCTGAATTATGGAGACTTTCTGTTCACTTGATGCTTCTGATCTTTCTTTTCTCATCTCAGCGATGTCTTTGGTGACATCAACACCTCCTCTGAGTCTTTTCAAACCTGTCCCCCAAAATGATTACATTTATACAACTCAGGTAAAAAAATAATTTATATTTAGTAGGTAAACGAAAGAGCTACAGTTCTGCATAGCCTCTCTATTACTTAATAACATGCTCTTTGGGAATTATTTTTTGTTAAATTAAATCCTACTTTTTTATTTCAAAAAAGCAGTACATTTGGCTTCATCTTATGATGAAGAGAACTATGGTCCTCATTATCCCTGAAGCATAATGCTGCAAAGGTCTTTTAGAAGCCTATGGTTGAGTCCAGTACTCTGCAGGTAGGCTTCTGATTTGGGTTGGAGTGAATATCTTTGGGTGAAAAATGGCATGTACCAGTCATATTAAAGCGATCTTGCATGCTGTTCTTCCATGTAATCACTGACTTCATTTGGAAAGCACTAGGACTGATTTCATGAGTAACCATTCACACCCACTGTTTCTCATTAGTTGATAGTTATAAAAAAATAGGTAGAAGGTAAAACCACTCATAGACTTACTTTTCTTTGCTTTGTTTTCCTCATCCAACTTGATGTAAAGGTATCTGGGACTTTCTGGACAGAAGAAGAGCAGCAGAGACTGTAGGACAGCTGGCACAGCAGACAAACCAAGCAGGATGTGCCACAGCTCACGATTGCCCAGGATGAAGTCAAGGCCAACAATCTGAAAAGGTAGAGGAAGCATATCAACCACAGAACACTTTGGATCTGTCTTCTGCAATAATCTGTTGAATAACCATATTAATTACTTAATAGCAATCCCTGACAATTTTGATTCAAGTGTGCATCAAAATGAAAACTATTACTAGTGTATCTTACCTTATCTAAATTAGGGACTATTTATTTTACAAAGAATTCACCTAGGTTTGTTTTCATGAACTCCTATGGGACATTTAGGATGGGAATCAACCAAACTTTTAACAACTTATTTGATATCTAAAACAACATAAAAAATTATGCATGACTTTGGACCTTTGTTAAAAATTTATTCTTAGATTTCCCAGAACTTAAGTAGAATGGGATTATACAGATAGAGCAATGACTCTAATGCATCCGTGGGCAAACTATGGCCCGCAGGCCGGATCAAATGAATAAAACTAAAAAAAAAAGACCATACCCTTTTATGTAATGATGTTTACTTTGAATTTATATTAGTTCACACAAACACTCCATCCATGCTTTTGTTCCGGCCCTCCGGTCCAGTTTAAGAACCCATTGTGGCCCTCGAGTCAAAAAGTTTGCCCACCCCTGCTTTAATGAGAACAGCTTTGTGATCCCTATTGCAGTAGTTTACCCTCTGGATAGTCATAGGTTTGGGGTTCCAAGGATTCCTTCTGAGACCACAGGGTAGAAGAGAAAGATAGAGCCAGCTTGACAAGAACTGGTCATCATTTACATACTAAATTTCCAAGTAAGACACTCAAAACAAAGGAAATCCAGACAGCCAAAAATTTGAAGTTGCCTATTCCTTTAAATCTAAATGGAATAATTTAATTTTAGAATAGCTCCAGAAGTTCAAGATTTGGCTTCCAGGTCACCTCCAGGGCCATCCCAACTGCAACTCCAAGAAGAAAAGTGGGGACTGGAGTAGTAATAATTTAGCTAAAATATCTATGCCTCTATATGACCTACACTACCATTGGTGGAACTGTTTTATTTGTTTGTTTGTTTTTCTGTGTTTGTCTACAGTGAGAGTGGACAGTCATGGAGGGAAAAGTTGGGTAAAGTAGAGAATGGTTGAAATAAGGGATGAGAGTTTTTACCTGACTAATAAGAATGCCCGTGACAATGGCCAGCTGGTGAAGAGCGCCAATAGCACCCCTGAGTGTGGTTGGAGCAATTTCACCAATGTACATTGGAACCAGGCCTGAAATTAGCCCTGCATGAGACATGAACATAAGTGTTAAAGTAAAGCCAGGACTATCTCAATAACATTAATTTGGCTTACGTATAGTCAATACTCTGATTGAAAGTCTCTTTCTGAGTCTGTTGAAAGGAAGAACCCTGGTTCTCAACCATAGGCAGAGGTTATGCAAAGAATACTTGTTAATAGATTCCAAATAAAGTTGTAGTTGGATATAAGAATAGAAAGAAATTGTTAGTCAAGTATTTGGCAATTATTTATTGTCTTATTCAATTTTTAAAAAAATCTATTTTGTTAGTATATAGCTTGCATTATAATGCCTTTAGATCTTAAGAAAAGAGAATGAATAATGTGATAATATTCTTAAAAAATAATATTCTTAATCTAGACTCATGGAATTAAAGGGAATTAGAACATATCTATGCCAACAACATTACTTGATCGAGGTGAGCAATGACTTACTTAAGATAACAGTGTAATAAAGTGTTAGTACGAGAGCTACAAGCTCTATCTGAATTTCCACAATGTGGAGTTGCTTCAAGATCACTGTTAGAGTGGTGGGTGGTATAGAGAGGTGGAAGGGGGCTCTGCTTGTGATATGCTTCACAATATATTTAGAGAATTTCTTTTCAATTTTACCAAAAAGATTTTGTATTTGTTACTGTACTTTATTTTTTTAAACCTTTCCTTTAATTTTAATTTATTAGAGTTAGAAAATTTAAAACATAGGTTTTTCTTGAAATTTTCATTTTAATTTACAAATTTTATTCTATTAATCAGTCTTATTTATAACTTAATAAGCTAAGATTTTGTAAAGATTTTACACTGCATTTGCAAAGATAAAATTTGTTTTTTGACATTCAATATCAATTTTTATTAGTTTCAGGTGTACAGCAGAATTGCCAAACAATTATATAATTTACAAAGTGATACCCAGGATAATTCTAGTACTCATGTGGCACCATACCTAGTTATTACAATATTATTGATTATATTCCCTATGCTCTACTTTATATCTCCGTGACTATTTTGTAACTACCAATTTGTACTTAATCCCCTTATCTTTTTCACCCAGTACCCTCTGGCAACCATCAGTCTGTTCTCAATAGCTGAGTCTGTTTCTGTTTGGTTTGTTCCCTTATTTTGTTCTTTACATTCAACATATAAGTGATAGCATATGGTATTTGTCTTTGCCTGACTGACTTATTTCACTCATCACAATACTCTAGGTCCATCCATGTTGTTGCTAATGGGAAGATTTAATTATTTTTTATGGCCCAGTAATATTCCATTGTATATATTTACCACATCTTTTTTATCCAATTATCTGTTGATGGGCACTTGGGTTGTTTCCATATCTTGACTATTTTAAATAATGTTGCAATAAACATAGGGGTGCACATATTTTTATGAATTAGTGTTTTAGATTTCTTTGGATAAATACTCAGGAGTGAAATCACTGGGTCATAAGGCAGTTCTATTTTGTTGTTGCTTTCATTCTATTTTTAAAAATGGAGAAAAGAGAAAGAAAAATAAGATTTGGAACTTTTAGACAGTGTTATCATTTGCATTTTTCAGAAGAGGAAACTGAAGCTCATATTCAATTAACATTTCTAAGACCAGACAGAATCAGTGCCAGAATTGATTCAGTGTGGACCCAAAGCTCTTTCCTCATGTGGGTTGACTTTTTACTTTAATAAAGCTATCCTGACTTTCAGTTATTTGTTTTAACATTGAAAATAATGAAAAGAGACATTTAATTAAATAATTTAGGTTTTTATTTCAACTGGTCATTGAAGATGCATGGAATTATAGTTTTTCCCCTTTGCAGGTAAAAGTGTTATAAATATTTGATACACCATTTTGTTCCCTTGCCCCATCTCTCCCACCCCCAATGGAAATTAGTGATTTGAAATTGCTACAGTTTGGGACAATGGGTTAAAACCTTGGCTCAGAACTATTAGGGCATCACTGGTATTGAGAACCTAAAGATTTGGCTGTTTTAGAGAGCGAGAGATTCTCCCTTTTGTTCCGGCCTCTGCTGATTAGTTGCCTCTGAAAATTCGAAAAGTTGTTCCCAAGAAATAATGATTCCAGTAATTTATATGGAAACTTCATAGGAGGAGCATCCATCCTTCACTCTGAACTCCTCTATGAATTGCTTCTTCCTGATTCCTTCTCGCTGTGGTCACTGCTGCTTTAACCCTTCACCCGGCAGGTCTGAAATCTGACAGGGCTGGGCTGTATAGTCTGAAAGATGGGCCTTGTATCAATGTCTTTCCAGATAGAAGAGGCAAATACATAGGAGGCCAGATAGACTACCAAGGCCGAGTCAGAGCTTCTGGATGTGTAGATCTTCCGCTGTCTACAGCACCTTGGGAGTAATGCCAATAGCTAGAATTTCATGGTAGTTCACCGTAGTCAGATTCTATGCTGAACATTTTACATGGATTCTCACAAGCACCCTGCAAGGTAGATATTATTCTCTTTATTGAAGAGAAGGAAACTGAGAATAATTTGTCTGTGGTCACATGACTAGAAATGATGTTGCTGCCGTGGGAAAGAAGACAGCTTCACATCTCCCATTTACTGGTCCCAAACCTCCCTGACTCAGGACTTTAACTTCATGCTATTGCCTATCCCTTTTGTAGTGCCACATCAGACTCAAAATATTCCTTGAGTGTATGTGTGTGTGTGTGTGTGTGTGTGTGTGTGTGTGTGTGTGTGAGGGGGGGGGGGGGACTTACCACAGTAGAGTCCTGATACAGCTCTTCCTGAAATGATAAGAATGTGAGATGGTCCCATTTTCGAAAATCCCATCAAGAGAGCTCCAGCTAATGAAAGAATGTTTGCTATCAACATGGCTTTGATTCTGAAATTTTAAAAAGCAGGGATAATAAATTTAGCATCAAACCTTGATAAAATTACATGTGTTCAGAGCATGGTGACATTTTTTACCTAGGAGATTTCTTTAATTTTGCTGAAAAGGCTAGTTGAGGGAATCTTAAACCATGATTGATACTTTGATTTATCTACAAACTGATGCATTAACAGTAATATTTATAATGAAAGAATCTGGATTTTATGCTCCTGATCTCCACATTTTGGTGGAGATGAATCAATTTTTGATGATGACTAGTTCGAGTTAAGATAAGACTCTAAACACTTTTTCAAACAGTTAATGTATTAAATTTTCTACAAGTTGATTGTTTTAAACACAATTGCCGGGTGATAGCTAAACTCAATTCTGTACATGTAATCTATGACACCTTGCTTTCCGCCCCCCTCCCCTTTCTTTCAATGGTACAGGTTTTTAGTTGATGTAGATAATGAAAGGAACTTTAAAGTTTAATTTCAAAAAAAACCCATTAAATTTCCTTTATTAAGAATTATTTTGACATAAATTAAAGCATACTTTTACTTTGAACTTTATCATAATTATTGTAATCTTAACATTATATGTCAACACATTTTCAGAATCTATGCATTAATGTTAACTTATGTAAAATATGTAAAAAAGCTGACAATAGCAACACAAACATTTCAAAATTAATCTTGTGAAATTTGACATTTTAAGATATTTATTCCTTTTAAGTGGGAAAGTGAGGTACACTAGAAACCTTTTTCAAAGTAGATGATGATAAGGCCAATGAAATATTCTGAGTGGACAGGTATGAAAATGCCTGTGCCACAAAGAATGTAATAAGCACCTTGTTCTGTTCTATTTCAATGTTTCAAACTTTAAAAAGTGAGCCTTTTCTAAGCAAGTATCTTTAATACCAAACAGATATTTTTAAAGGCTAAAACTATGTAATCTCATACTGTAGTGATTGCCCAACAGCCATGCGATAGGCTGAATAATAACCCCCAAGAGCCTACATCCTGATCCCCAGACCCTGGGCATATGCTACGTTATATGACAAAAGGGATTTTTCAGATGTGATTAAATGGAAGATTTTGAATTGAAGAGGTTATCCTGGCCCAACAATGTAATCACAAGTATCCTTATAACAGGAGGCAGAAGAGAAGGTGAGGTGATGATAAAGTAGAGATTGGAGTGATGTGTTTTGAAAATGGAGGAAGGACCACAAGCCAAGGAACATGGAAACTGGAAAAGGGCAAGGAAATGGATTCTTCCCTTGGAACCTGCAGAAGGAGCCAGCCCTGCTGACATCTGGACTTCAGCCAAGTGAAACTGAATTGGGGCTTCTGACCTCCACAACAGCAAGAAAATAAACTGGTATAGTTTCGAGGCATTAAGTTTGTGGCAATTCATTATAGTAGTAATATGCGGACATTATTAAGTACCTAAAGGCAGGGAAACAGTGATTTAGAGCTGATCAGCTTCAGAGCTGTGGAGAAAAAGACAGGGTGTTGCTCTGTGAAGTGCTTTTTCTCTAAACAAGGACAGAGGGCAGGGAAACCCAATGAATTACCTTAAAAATGGTTACTAGCTAGTTAATAGTATATTCTATTGGGTGGGAAGGGGGAGGTGAGGGGAAACGAGATAAAGTCTTAAAAGAGATAGCCTGAAAAGTATGTTTGATGCCAGATTGCTCTAAAGTCCTTTTTCCTTACTACCAATGGATGCTGGAGCACTTTACATAACTTAGATTTCAATATCTGACACAGACAACAGTGTGGTATGGCCTGAGGGGAGGAGGAGTAGGGACTGGGTGAAAGGGGACAAAGGGAGGGAAAGTGGGGACATCTGAAATAGTGCCAACAAAAGAAAAAGAAAAAAATAACTTCTGCTCAGACGAGAGAAATGGCCAAGGATAAATAATCTAAAAAAAAAAAAAAAACAAACCAAAAAAAAAAAACACCACTTGAAGTGGTTGAATCAGGGAGAAGAAAATATATTTCTAAGTATATTTATTTAAATCTCCCTCTAAATACTCCTCTTAGCATAGGACTATCGCCCTTGTCCTCATCATCAACAAAGAAGACTGCGCTCCCTGCCTGCTCACTCTGCCGAGACATTGTGCTAAACCCTCTTTACTCCTCCTTACTCCATTGGCACAATAATGCCACAAGGTAGGGATTATTAAATATATATTTTTTCCGCATTGCAGATGGGAAGAAAACGTCTTAGAGAACTTAGGTAACTTACACATTTTCACACAACTATTAAGTGACAGAGCTGCGAGGTGATCTGGGTGAAACCAGGGGTTAAGTTTTCATTTTAGTGAGTTCCATTTTCCATACAAAAGAGAGAAAGCATTCCAAGACCAGGAATGTTTGCCTTTCTTCATTCCCAGTGGTGTGGATTGCACAGACCAACGTCACCCCCATCATTGCCTTTTAATTAAACTGTAAGCCCAGAGTCTCTGGAAAAATTGACCTTGAGAATCCGAACTGAAAAATAATGGTCACAGATATATATTGGCTATTATACAATGACAAGGAAAACTTTTTTAAAAGGCAGTAATGGAAAATACATTTTTATTTATTTATTTTTAACTGGTGAAGTAATGATCCCGGCAATAAGGACTATCATGCCATTTCTCAATGAAGCACCTCAGAAAAATGGTTATGCGGAAGAGACTGAACTCTCTAGTCTTATTTTTAAATTAAAATTTTAATATTATGGCTGTTTTTCATGGAGAATCATTTTTTTTCTCCAAGAGCTGGAGGAAACCTCACTTTTCGTTACCATAAGTTATTTGATAAATGGTTATTTGACATTATTTGGGGGATGACCGATGCTGCTGTTAAATCCTAAGAGTTGAAAGGACATGCATTCTAGTTCCAGCTCTAGGACACTGATTCAGTGTTTTAAAGTAAGTCACCGGACCTCTCAAAATCTTGTCTCTAAATGAGAGGCAGCAGGGCTTACATTTTTTTCTTCAGGGATGGGAAGAGGTATAAAACATCAGTAGCTGCTGAAAGACTTAGTTTGCCATATTTTAAATTTTAACTTAATTTTGCTTAATTTTATTTATTTTAGAAATAATAAAACACCAGTAGGTTGATTAAAATGGGAGGAACTGACCATTTTCTTTTATTGTAGAGGAAAGTCCCTTTCAAATAAGAACAAAAATAAAACGTGGGTTCCCATGCTACTCAATACTTAAGGAAATTTCTTACAGTCTTCTTATTTAAAAGCTCCAGTACAAGAGAAAGAAGTTATCAGAATCTTAATAACCAGAGATAAAATTATAATTTAAAGTAGGAATTTTATGAATGAAATAAACTGTAATTCAGAATTACTAAGACAGTTATATCTTAGCCTATATAATTTACATTTTAAAGGTTTTGAATTTTCTAAATTTTCCATATTTGTATAATTATTTTTATCACTAGAAAAAGGTAATTAATAAACAAAAGATAGACGTAAAGAGTAGAAAACAGATTTAAAGAAATAATTAGCTTATTTTCTAATTTTATTATTATTTTCTTTTGGGGGGATAGGGGCATCCAAAGAGCTTTAGTATGTCACATGACTAAGTAAAATGTAAGTGTAAAGGAGTTGCACTGATGTTTTCAGTCCAGAACACTTAATAGAAACCAGAGTAGAGAAATGGAGACACCACTGGCTTCATCTTTGGTTGGGGCTTGGATATAGAAGTAGCAGCAGCTATCAACCTCTTGCCAAGTATACTGAGCAATTGAGGGCTGGGGAATATTGACTTGATCTTAGAACTTGACTGAACCAAATGCCAAATTCTAATTTGAAGATGAAAAACTGGATGTCTGAGAAATGGAGCGATTTGGTGATGCAAACAATAGACTCCCAGGTTAAAAATTCCACTCTTGGCCCTTCTATTGAGCTCTAGAGTTAATCCTTTTTGCAGTGGGTTCTTAATATGTTTTATAACTTAGAAAGCCAGAGAATCAAAGCAATTGTCTAAAAATGCACACCAAACTCACCTTTGTGGTAAATACCTCCACAATTAAGCAGACTGGTGCAACAGCTTTTTCCATTATTTGGTTCAACACTGATCTAACTCATAGGGTCACGTGGTAAAAAAACAACTCAAAAACTATTCCACAAAAAGAAAGGTGATTTCTTTCTAAACTAATTCCAATAAACCCCAAATACGAAAGTTTCCGTGTTTCTGCTTGCTTATGAAATTTGCCTACCTTCCAAGCTGGTCCCCAAGCCACCCACCGAAGAATGATGCAATCATTCCACCAATTGCAAAGCTGGACACAGACAGGGACCATAGCATGGTGATGAGGCCAGAATCTTCTTCCACAAGCTCTTCGTCAGGCGGAGGGGTTGGCGTTGAATTCATTAGGTTGGGGGTTCTGGGCATTTCCTCTGTACTGGCGATAGCATCGCTGCTGAGAGCTTTTCGGTCAGCCAGTGGAACATCCAAAACATGTCTGTAATGGGTAATTATTATCTGAGAAAACAAAAACATTTCAAACAATCTATTTTTATTCATTTTTTTTCTTTAGAGTATTTGTTAGGTATTTAAACAGGATCATTCCAATTATGTGCACTACACACATACAAACACATGTAGATTTATTTATAGTTGACCATCATAATAATAAAAGGCCAAGAGGCGTCACAACCAAATGACCAGTCGTCATGAGGTGGCATTGACCACTTTTCGGTCCCTCCCCGCCAACCTGCAAGTGGGGGCGGAGTGGGACTGGCAACTGGAAACTGGCAAGCGGGCTGAATTGCTGACCTCTTGGTCACTTTCTCCCCTCCCCGCCACCCCCCGCCAGCCTCCCATGGATCAGTGCTGGTGAATGGGGGAATCGGGGTGTGTGGCGGGAGGACCAGGCTTGCTGTCAGGCCATTGGCATCCCCGGATCTCATCCCGGGTTGCGGGGGCGGGGCAGGGTGGAGGGTGGGCTGAGGCCTGCAGGAAAGCGGGTGCTGGCAACTTCACTTCCATGCATGTGAGCCGGCCGGCCGCTGATGGAACACGCTGCCCGCTCGGGGCGCTCATGCCTGGACGGGTAGGTCACCAGCGTGTCCCACAATCTCAGTGCCTCAAGCCGCAGCAGCAGTGGCAGCATCACCCCGAGCAGGCAGCGTGTTCCATCAGCAGCCGGCCCAGCGCATGCACATGGAGGTGAAGTCTCTGGTGCCCGCTTTCCCGCAGGCCTGAGCCCCGGAGCAGCCGGGGATGAGCTGGGGATCCCCACAGTCTGACAGCCCGGCAGTGGCAGAGGCAGTGCTTGACCTGGGGACTGGCGAACGGGCAGAAGATGGCCCGGATCACAGGAGGCTAGGCCTAGGAACCCTACCTGCATGACTTAATCGTGTGCTGGGCCTCTAGTACTCTATAAAACAGAGGCCACAAATTCCAGTGCCAACAGGAGCCAGGCAGGAACAAATAAATGAAGGAGGCAAGGAGAGCCTTGATGACTCGAGGACTGAAATACTTCTCTACTATTGAGGCTATAACAGCGAGTGAGCAGGATTATGGTCCTCGAGAGCATCTGCCCCACCTGGGGGAAGCTGCAAACACGAGACTAGTGTTGATGAACTTTAATTTTTAAAAAGAAGATGGAAATCTGGGTTTTCATGTAAAAACTGCCAAGTTTTAAATGCGGTCTACTATTCAAATTGAAAATATTCTGCAGGCTAAAAAGATATAAATCTGCACTAGTGTTACCCCTGCACAAGAGGATTTAAATGGATTTATGGAAATATTTTAATGGAAACACAAAAATAGATATAAGAAAAAAAAATTGGGAAAGATACGATGAGGCCCGAAATTAAGTTAGTATACAAAATTCAAACACTAGGTGCTATATCCTTGCTAGAAGTGAGCTATAATTTAGCAATAAACTTCCTAGCAGCCAAGGCATAGAGAAGAAAACAATTGTGTATACTGATGAATTCCAAAGATGAAAAAAAGCCTCAGTGGCCCCTGAGAAGGCACTGAGACCTAGAGGACCTCACAGAGTTCAGTGGGTAACAGAATGAACAATGTTCAAAACTGAATTGCACAGAGCCATACATTATAATGTGGCCCACTAGGGGCAATAATCATAGGGAAGTATAACTGAGTAAACTATACTTTCAGGCTATCTTCCTTCCATGCCGTTCCTCTCGATGACTCTTTGGTTACTATTCAGCAGCAGCGAGCTGCAAGGACCTCTGACAAGGGGTATAGCGGCCCTAGGTTCAGGGCAAAGTCCTAGGTTGCAAAATCAGCTGAGTAAGGGAAGGAACTGACATCTACACTAATAAAAGAGAAACATGGTAATTGGCGTACAACTACTACCCTTTTCATTGGCTAATCAGCAAGATATGCAAATTAACTCAGCCAAGATGATGGCCGGCAGCCAGGCAGCTTGAAACTAACATGAGGCTTGCTTGCCTCAGTGACGGAGGAAACCAATGTTCCCCGCCTGCGACTGCAGGCCTCTGAGCCTGCAGTTTCAAACACTGTAACAAATACCATTGGACTTCAGTCAGCAGATTCGCAACATTGTAAGCAAAGGCCAGAAACCTACTTTCAGCCACGGAGGCCTAAGAGCTGGAGCCAAGCCTCAAGGTAAAGCTGGCCCAGAATAAAATTAAAAAAAAAGAAAAAAAGGAGCGGTTGGGAACTTCAGTCACTCCCAGCCTGAAAACAGACCTCAGCCCCTCACCCAGACTGGCCAGGAACCCCAGTGGGGACCCCCACCCTGATCTAGGACACCCTTCAGGGCAAACCAGCCGGCCCCCACCCATGCACCAGGCCTCTACCCTATATAGTAAAAGGGTAATATGCCTCCCGGCCCCGGGATCAGTGTGACAGGGGGCAGTGCCCAACCCCCTGAGCAGCCCTGCTCTGTGCCTGATAGGCGGGAGCTCGCCAACCCCCCCACCCCCCACGGGCCCTGCTCTGTGTGTGTTGGGGTAGAGTCATAACCTCCCCATTGGCCCTGCCCTGAGTGTGAGAGTGGCGGCGCCCCAACCCCCTGATCGGCCCTGCTCTGTGGGTGATAGAGGGCGGTGCCCCAACCCCCTGATGGGCCCTGCTCTGTGTGTGACGGGGCAGTGCCCCAACCCCCTGATTGGCCCTGCTCTGTGCATGACAGGGGGTGGCGCTGCAACCTCCCCATCGACCCTGCCTTGAGTGTGACAGGGGACGGTGCCCCAACCCCCCAATCGGCCCTACCCTGAGCGTGACTGAGGGTGGCATCACAACCTTCCAATCCACCCTGCTCTGTGCATGACGGGGCAGCGCCCAACTTCCCAATCGGCCCTGCTCTGAGCCTGACCAGGGGCTGCACCTAGGGATTGGGCCTGCCCTCTGCCACCCGGGAGCAGGCCTAAGCCAGCAGGTTGTTATCTCCCGAGGGGTCCCAGACTGCGAGAGGACACAGGCCGGGCTGAGGGACCCCCCCTCCCCCCCAAGTGCACAAATTTTTGTGCACCGGGCCTCTAGTGTTATGATAAAAAGAAGTCGGACCAAGACATTTGCCTCATTAGAAGGTCATGCCATATGGATAACCTACACAGAAAAACAACTGTAAGGAAATACCCAAAATGTTCTCAGCAGTTTGCTCTATGTGGTAGAATAATTATGGTGATTTCTTTCTGCAATAGGCACGTGTAGTCTTCATAATCATAAAAGGTGTGATTTACAAATACCTTAAAATAATTCCAAATGTCCTTCTGCTAATAATAATAATAATAATAAAAGGGCCTGAATGACTCTTCTGACGTAACAGTGTTTAAACACAGAAGGAAGTGTCTATAAAGAGGGCACCAAGCCAGATGCCAGTGGGGAATCCTGGTGTTCAGGCCTGTGCTTGAAGGAGGGAAACCTTAGATTAATTTCCCCTGGAAGACTGAAAAGGATGGTTTAAATAAGAATTTGAAATAGTCTCCCAGGAAAAGAGGCTCTACCAATTATGGTGATATTGAGCCAAATTTCAGGAAACCTGATAAATTGGCACATGTCATTGCCCACAGAAAATAGCCCCCCTCTCCCTACCCCCACCCCACTCCACACAGTATTGTATCCTAAATCTTTCAACCTCAGCGAGGCCTGCCACACTCACGAAGATGGGTGGCACGTAACCGGAGCACATCTTTTGGTCCAAGGAGCGACTCATTTCAGATGATGGACTGACAGGCCAGCACACATTTCACACATTCACACCCTGCGGGGATCTTACATTTTTCTTGGAGTCCAATGTTGTAAGAGAAGCAGATGAAATACGATTGATTTGTAGAAGTCACCTAACAAATATTTGTACTTGCACCTTATGCCAGCCTTCCCCGCAGCATCCATTCTCCCTCCCTTTCTCTTTCTTTGTCTCTCTCCCCTTCACTAAACACTTTATTGAACACCCTCTTTACACCAATCATTGTGCTTGGCACTGGTGATACAAGACATCAATTCCACACTAAGAGACCTGAATTAGGGCAGAAGGAGTCAAGTCCTGGACACGCCCCCCCCCCCCCCCCCCCCCCAGTTTGTTACAGGTTGTGGGAGTTGAGAAAAATGGCATCCCTCTCCTGTCCATTCACTGGATATCAGAGTAGAGATGCACAAAATCAATGAAAAAAAACTGATAGAAATTGTTTGATATTTTAAAAAATACCCATCCAAATGATCATCACAGAGAAAACCCAAATGTTGTTGGACTTCTTGACTATTATTTAAATGTTTTGTATTATTTTCCTTTGAAGCACCTATAGGAGACAGGAGTACAGGGAAGGACTAGAATCTTTTTAATGTTAGTGCTTCTGATGGTTTTAATCTGGCCAGGAAATGGGTGAGAGAAGGCTGTTGGGAGGCTGAAACTGGGGAGAACATGTTAAAGTTCCTGATGCATGGTGAGTTGGTGCTCAATGCATTTGTGCACAGAGTGAAACATATCCTTCTTTGGCTTTCTCATATTCCCTGATAGTTTCATTTGTGTATGGCTGAGAGGTCTGAGTGAATGCTGCAATAAATAAGCTTTCAAGCTTTACAAAAGATATCCTAAGGCACATGGTATTCTGACTAAAGTTTTCTGTAAGCTCAGCAAATATCAGAGTCAAAGATCAAGAATTATTGCTGTTTACTTTCTGAGGGTTATTAAGTGATGAGGCGTCAAAGTCAAGTTCTGAGCTCTGGAACCACACACATGATACCTGATAGAAGGCTGTTCCCCACGTGGACACACTTAATTTCTCTGTACAAGGAACAGATATCTTTCTGTCATTGACAGAAATTGCCAAAAGGAGATTTGAATTGTGAATGTTTTACTTGCCTGTTGAGGGGCATTGATCACACCAATGTCATATCCAAACTGGAAGGAACCCAGCACGGCAGTGAAGACAGTGAAAACCAAGGTCCCGGTGATCTGTGGGGAATGAGACACAGGGCTGGGACACATGAGGCAAGGTCAGCTACCCATCTACTATCACTCTACAGTTTGGACTTCTGGCAGGCTCCACAGGCTGGTTCTTGTTCCTTGATACTCACAGTGAGCCCTATGCTCCCAGCAGGTTCATTCATACCAGAATGTGAGAGTCATTCATGGTTTTCCTTACACTGCTGACATTGATAAGAGTTGGGGATAGCTTTTCCCAGGAGAAGAACCAAAACTCTGGCCAGCACAGCTCAGTGGTTGAGCATTGACCTCTGAACCAGGAGGTCACAACTGGATTCCCAGTGAGGGCATATGCCTGGATTGCAGGCTTGATCCCCACTGTGGGGTGTGCAGGAGGCAGCCTATCAATGATTCTCTCTCATCATTGATGTTTCTATCTCTCTCTCCCTCCCCCTTTCTCTCTGAAATCAGTAAATATATATTACAAAAAAAGATAAAAACAATCATTTATGCTATTAAGAGAAGTAAAATCAGACAGCAATAACAAAGAGTTGGGGAGCTCCTGGACGTTGCTATGGTACAAAAATACTTCAAAATTTATACAAGGGGCACCAACCAGTCTTTATCATAATCCACATTAATATCCAGGTAATACTTCAGGATTTTCATATAGTTGAACCTAGAGTTGTGGGTTAAGAGCTATTATTCACCCCTCACTCCCTATAGCTATAAAAACAAACAAACAAACAAACAAACAAACAAACAAAAATATAGAAAGGGGCAGAGCATTCACCCTTTCCAACTTATAATTACATATCTAACCACCTCAGAGAAACCTTATCATGCATTTAGAGCCATATGTAAGGATATTTTATATATGTGTGATAGCAAAAATTATGGAAAGAACCTAATGTCTTTCAACGGGAAATAGCCAAATAGGTTCAAATGGATCATGATATATATACATCAGATACATACAAGCTGCTATGCAGCAGTTAAAATGAATATTGTGGTCATGCATTGACATTGTTAAATGACAAAGGAAGTTGTGTACACTCATTAATGTTTTTCAAAGGCTTAAATCTGAGTATTTTTTGATCTATGCATGTTGTATGTAATTCATAGAATATGTTCTTGAAAACCATAAAAGGATGATCTTTGAGGGGGAATGTGAGATCGAAGAAAAGGGGTAAAAGTATTTTTTCTCTTATTTATATTATTAGACATTTTATAAGAAAACTATTTCATGTGTAATCTCTTCATTTTCCAGGTGAGAAGCTGAGTCCAAATCCTTTGTCTGAGTCAGCACATTCAGAGTGAGGGTGCAGGTCTTCTGACCTTTCCTCTCGTGCTTACCCCCCCCCCCCCCCTTTCCAAGTCTGGGTGGATTTACAAAGCCGAAACATTGTGCTTTACCTCAATTCTTGTTCCTTCTGGGTTCCATTATTAGGCAATTTCTCAGTTCTCAAGAAAAGTCCTACAACATAATTCCTAAATTCCCCTACGGGAAGTCAATGGTAGTTATAAACGAAGCTTGAGCATCTGCTAGGTGCCAGGCAGGGTGGTAAGCACATTATCTTCCCTTTCGTAGTATCTTCCAAACTTCAGTTATTTGAACGCCACCTTCATGATTTTTGCCAAAGCTACATACCATCTTTATAGTTATTTACTTAATATTTGTCTTTCTATTGTCTTCAAAGTTCTAACTGCTTTAGCTTTATTTTGGGCTATAATAGGGAATCCCAATGCCTTAATTATTCTTTAAATATACATTATATAAATGCACAACTATTAATACTAAAATGTTCGTCACCCGAGTATCTCTAATAGTATCTCAATTACTGCCTGATCATAAAGAACTTTTATAATCCTGAATATCCTATATTACATCCTTATGCTATATCCCAATATGTTCTTATTTTATCACAATATAGAAAATCCAAGCTCAGGTAAATAACAACCCTGGCCTCAGAGCAGATAAGTAGCTTCACCACATCCCAAACCCAAGCCCGGCTGACCACAAAGCCCGTGCATCAAGCTTTGTCACTTTCCAAAATGAAGAAATGTCCAGCAGAATAACTCACAACAGATAAATTTAGAGGTCTACCCTGAGAGGGGTACAGATTTACATACTTGCATGATGTGTGTAGGGGTTGGGGCATTTGATGGGGGGAAACTAACAAGGGAGCAAATGAAAATACCCTTTTTATTTTCAAGTTTTTATTTTGAAAGGTATTATGTTTTATTTATTTATTTTTTTATTGATTTAAGAGAGGAAGGGAGAGGGAGAGGGAAAGAGAAACATCAATGATGAGAGAGAATAATTGATCACCTTTCTCCTGCACGCCCACTACTGGGGATAGAGCCTGTGCCCTTGACCAGAATCGAACCTGGGAACCTTCAGTCCACAGGCTGACACTCTATCCACTGAGCCAAACCAGCTAGGGCAAAAGGTATTATATTTACAGAGAAGTTCAAAGACTCTGTAACCTTCACCTGTGTTGGCCGATGGTTAACACCACATTTGGTTAACTCTCACTGTGCGTGTGTGTTTGTGTGTTGTTGTTGTTGTGGCCAAATCATTTCAAACTAGGTGGAAGATATTTGAGTCACTTCACTCCTAAAACTCCAGCATGTTCTCACTAAGAATAAAGACATTCTCCAGCATCATTACAATGCCATTATCATATCCAAGAACCTACTAGATATACAAATGTTATGTAATATGCAACCCCTTTTCAAAATTTCCCACCTGCCCCCATAATGTCCCTTAGGGCTGTTTTCTTTCTCCTTCCATGATCTAAGAGCACTTGCTGCATTTGGTAGTTAGTTCCTAATTTTCTTTAATCTAGAACAATCCTTCTACCTCTTGTTTTTTATACATTGACATTTCTGAAGATGTCATTACAATTTTCATTATGAGTTAGATTCAGGTTAATCTGCCCCCCCCTCCCTTTTTTCGCATATTCCTTTAGTAGTATGGTTATGCAGAATCACTTGAGAAGTTACATAGATTAGTCAGAAAACAGAGCAAATATCCTTAAAATCCTAATTACTGAACAAGAAATTAGGATTCTAGCAGCCAAATGAACTATCAATTGACCAAGAGAAGTAGCTTTGATCTGTTGTAGCTATATCCAACATCCCCCAAATCCTCCATACGCTCACTGACTTGAACGGCTTTGCCTATTCATTTTCTCAAAGCTGATTCAAAAATGAACAGGACGCTGCTTTACCTGATCTGTCATTTTATTTGCCTGGGAGTCCTCCTCTGAATTCCAGGTCCTGTCGTGAGTGTGGCACATGCAGCTGGCCAGCTCCTCTCTGTCTTTTTTTCAGCTTTCCAAGACTAGTTATACATTACAGGAGAAGGGGGAGGGCAAGGAAGGAATGGGCATAGTAAAAGTCCAAGTCTAATCTTGCCAAGGCTATTGATGAGAATTGAATCAATACATGCATTGCTGCAGAGACCTGTGGCTTTCATACCTTTGTTCCACCAGGAAAGGACATAGGAGCAGGTCCTTTAGGCATAAGTTACAAACCAGAGGTGGTCACATTTTAAAGCGTGAGCTAAGCGTGGCAGTCACCGGGGACAGGTGAAAAGCAGATGTGGTGTGCTGGGCTGCCATGCCATGGTTTGGGGACGACAGACAAAGACAGGGGCACGGGAGGTACACAGACAGCACCCTGCTCTGCAGAAAACTAGTTCTGTGGTGTTTGTGCTTCTGATCTGGGCTGAGGCCAGAGGCCATGGTAGTCTTGAGTGGTTACCTGAGTGAGCTTTGGAGAGTTATGAACTTGGGTCTGAATCTCAACGTTTTACTACTGGTGGTATGACCTTAAGCCAGTGGCTCCTCATGACTTTTCTGTGCTTTAGTTTTTTCACCTGATACAATGAGAATAATAGAACACACACTTTGTTTTTTTGGGTGGCTACATGTGGTAATATAGGAAAGTGTTTAGCATAGTGTATACTAGGTGCTCAGTAAGTGGTGGTGTCATGGTTTTTACTGTTATGATTATTGGTTCTGTGTATGTCAAGAGGCACTTGGAGGCAATACTGTAGAATCTCAATTAAATCTGCTCACCCTGCTTGCGCTTGTGCCCTTCTGTGTATCCTCTGTGGTACCGAGGTCCCTTGGGGGCCCAGGCGATATCAAAACTGAACTTGAACTGTGCTTAGCGACTAGCGTCACTGGTTCCACTGAGGCTCAGCTGGAACCATTTCCCTGCAGAGGGACTTTTATGGACAGCAGCAAAATTGAGGGGTTGTTATGGAGAAACAAAAGGTAATATAACAAATGAAGAGGAAAAGGAGACTCAGATTTCACCTGTTTTTATTTCACCGTGCTTTTTTCATTTCTATCACCCCTGCAAGGTAACACACTTGAGTAAATATTTTAATTAAAACCACAAACTTGCCTGGCTGGGTGGCTCAGTTGGTGTGAGCATTGTCCTGGACACCAAAAGGTTGTGGGTTCAATTCCTGGTCAGGGCGCTTACCTAGGTTGCAGGTTTGATCCCCAGGGTTTCATATGGGAGGCAATGGATCGATGTGAGAACTCATCTCTCTCTCTCTCTCTCTCTCTCTCTCTCTCTCTCTCTCTCTCTCTCTCTGTCTTCCATTCTCTCTAAAATTAATGAATATAACCCTGGGTGAGGATAAAAGGGGAAAAAAGACCCCCCACAAACTTTCATGGAGCCCGGCACAGTTCCAGGCTCAGAGATGCATGAGCTAAATAACACAGGGGCTTCTAATGTCTAAGGAGAAATGATCGTAAAAGCAAACACACAATACAGTCATTTCTTAGTGGAAAAGCACGAACAAACATTATTAGCGACCATAGTTAATCTTGATTGAGTTCTTGTTTGGAGCCAGGTGCTGCTCTCAGCACTGCCCCTGAATTAACTCATTCAATCATCACCTGAGGCGCTCTCTGCTCTCTGCTCCCCGCTGCAGAGCCAAGCTTGGGAAGGCAGCTCTGAAACCAGACCTTCAGGAGGCCAGGTAGCTGCTCTGAGGGTAGTGCACAGCCGGCTCCTGGCTTCCCAGACCAGTCTGGGCTGGTGATGCTCACGCGCTCTCGTCAAAGGCTTGATCGTCAGGCGAGAATTCCTTAGCAATTATTTTCCGGTGACAGGACCCCACAGGAGATGGTGTGCGGCTGTCAAAAAAAATGACAGCCACATTTTTTTCCCCCCCTCTTTACTAACCTTTGCTCTTTGAATCTCCTTTTAAGAGACAGAGTTGGCTTTGAGTGCAGCGCGAGGCCGGTTAGCTTTTAACTTTGTGTGTGGGTCGGAGCCACTCGGCGCGCGCGTGGACGAGCTGTTCTCGGGTTGGAAGCGCGTCCTGGCTCTGGCCAACCCGGGACGCGGGACCTTGAGCCTCCCAGCCAGCTTCCTCTGAGTTAGCGGAGCGAGGAAACAAATAATCTCTGTGCCATTAAGGGACGGGCTGAAATCTTATCAGCGGGGTGGAAAGGGAGGGATCCGGTGATAGTGATGGCCTGGTAATTCCATTCGGCCTCTCCGCGGAGTGTGCTTTAGCGCCCCCCCGAGGTCCTGTGGCCCCATTGCATCCAGGCGTCTTTCCCTGCCTGCGGGATAAGGGCAGGTCTGGCTGTGCTATTGGGTGGGGACCACCCGTGCCCAGAGTCGCCCAGAGGTCCCCGCTGGGCTCTGTGGGATTGCTCTTTCCTTTCAAGTCACTTTCTGATTGCTTCTGCATAATGTAATCTTCATGGTGGTTACCAACAGCTCTAGGTGGGAGTTTGCAAGGGAAGAAAAGAGCGTCCCCGCCCTTTTTCATTATCCTTCCTTTCAGCAAAATGAGAGTTTATGTATTTCTGTAGCTGGGCAGAAGGAAAAGCAGCTACCTCAGCATGCTGCATTCCTCTCTGATGGGGCGGGTATGAGGCACCCACTGAAATGAGTTCACTCTGGGCCAAGCCAGGCGTGCGGGAGTGTTGGAGAGTCCTGGTCCCTGACGAAGGCCAGTGTATGTTGAGACTCTCAAGTCAAATTTGTCCCCATGATAGCCTTCCTCGTCTCACTTTCTGCACAGGCGCCTCTCTGGTTTCAGCCGCCAGCATTTCCTGAGTGTGGCTGCATGGTGACCTGGCCTCCCTGCCCCCCCTCTTCTTGTCCTACAGTCCCTTTTTTGACGGAGCCGCCAATATCCATTTAAAAATTAAACCAGACCATAGCACCCCTGCTGAAAAGTCTCCAAAGGCTCCCCAGCCATCCTTAGGAGGGAATGCACATGCATCACCACAGCCTGAGGGGCCAGTCCGAGGTAGTCTTCCCTGACTCTGAGACCTTCTCTCCCTCCACTCGCCTCCTCCGCCTTTGGGACCAGCCACCCTAGACTCAGACTTGCTTAGTGTGTTCCGGGCTCAGCACCTTTGGACTGGATGGGCTTCTGCCTTGAGCGCTCCACCCAGGATTGTATGTGGCTGGCTCTGCTACATGCAGGTGACTAAGAGGCTCTCCCAGCAGGCTTCTTAAGGTAGATACCACCTACCGCCTGCAACTCCTCCTCAGGCCGGATGCTCTGCTTTATTTTCTTCATACCACTGATACTTGACATGTAATTATTCGCTATTGTTCTAGTATTAAAATAGTAAATGTTAATGATTAAATAATAAATTCAAATATAGTAACATGTTTATTAAATATTAAAATTACTAGATTTTATTACTTGCTATTATTTTATTATTAACTTGCCTATTTATTATTTTGTCCCCCTTTTCCCACCTATTCTAAGGCCCATGAATGCAGAGACCTTGCCCATCTTGTTATTCCCAGTGCCTGTGGGAGTGTATAGTACACAGTAGATGCTCAATAAATAGTTGTTTAATAAATGAAGGAGGTTCAAAAAGGCCTGAGGCTGATATTGGGACATTTACTGATTTAATATTCACAAAATGCAGTATTCGCTGAACATTTTACTAGGCACCAGTTACAACAGGGGACAAAACAGACAGGGACTCTGCTCTTGTGGGCCTTACATTCTACGTTAGGAACTAAATGAGTGATGAAGAAGAGAACAACAGGGGGGCTGCCACTTTAGAGAAGGTGCTCAGAGAAATGTTCTTAGAAAAAGTGTCTTTTGACTGATACCAGAAGAATAGAGAGGGACGTATGTGCACAGCTTGAGGGAGGAAAGATCTTAGGTTGAAAAATAAGAGGATTTTGGGTAAAGCAGGGGAGCAAGAGGAAGTGAAAAGGGATGCTATTGGGGAGGTAGATAGAAGCCAGGGTCATACCGGGCCTTGTAGGTCATGGGAATGAGCTTGGATTCATTTGAAGGGCAAAGGGAAGTCACTGGAGGGGATAAAGCATGGGGATGATATGATCCAATATATGTTTTAAGGTTACTCATACTATTGAGTGAGGGGTGGATTGAATGGGGGCATCTGTGAAAGAGGAGAGACATAATTGCAAAGTTCTTGCAATAGTTCATATTTGCTATTGCCTGCCAGAAATAATGGCAATAGGAGGGGGAGAGAAGTAACAAATTCAAGATATATTTTGGTGGTGGAGCAGACAGGACTTTTTCATAATTGCTTTTAAAAGAGGAGGAAAATGAAGAACTCAGAATGGCAGGTAGATTTCTGGCTTATTAAATGAAGGTAACTGTGGTCCCATTGAATATTACAGGTGCAAGATTGTTTCGTCATCTTAGTGATAATCCAAGTTCATCTCCCAGACCTCAGGGAGGGCCACAAAAAAATAATCAAAACAATTATATTTTGTTCCACTTTTTAAAAATTAAACTTTTTGAGATAATTCTAGATTCACAGGTAGTTATAAGAAATAATACAGAGAAACCCCATCTACCCTTTACCCAGTTTCCTTCAATGTAACATCTTGTAAGACTATAATCACAACTAGGATATGGACATCAATACAATCAAGATACAGAACAACCTCATGTTGCCCTTTTATTGCCTTCTAACCTTACTGACTCCTAAACTGTGCCAACCACAGATCTGTTCTCCAGTTCCTTAATTTTGTCATTTTAAGACTATTATAAAAATAGAATTAGATAGCATGTAAGGGTTCTCCAGAGAAACAGAATCAATAGTATGTATGTATATATGTATGTATGTATGTATGTATGTATGTATCTATCTATCTATCTATCTATCATCTCCCTATCTAGCTATCATCTCCCTATCTATCTAGAGATTGACTTATTGTAAGGAATTGCCTCATACGACTGTGGAGTACTTGGAGAGGCCAAAATCCGATGGGGGAGCCCTGCAAGCTGGGGACTCAGGAGGAGTTGCTGTTCAAGTCCAAAGGCAGCCAGCTGGAGAATTCCATCTTGCTGGGGGAGGTC